TCGATAAACCCATCCATACAAACTTATCTTTCAACAAAAAATCCAAATAAGTAGGTAAATGCAGTCTTCAATAAAATTACGTAATAAATAAGCTAGGTCGATGAAAACGACAGCTCGTACATATTATGCCAAAAAATAGTATCACGTTTGAGGGAACACAACAAGGGCCGCGTTACCTCGCTGAATGATTGTAACTTAGTTTATAGTAGTTGTCATTAAGAGAGAAAAGAACTAGCCCTCTTGACAGCGTTTAATTGACACCACACGTGTTGATTAAACTAAATAAAGTTAGATTCTATATACGTCATACGAAAATATATTATTTTGTAAATTATTAAAAAAAAAAGAATTATTCTTTTTTTATTCTGCTCACGGTCCTAAGCCGCCTGCATCCATCGACTTCCTGCATGTCTTACCAGGTCGTCACTCCATCTAGTAGGGGGGGGGGGGGGGTCCTACACTTCGTCTACCAGTACGAGGCTGCCACTCAAGAACCTTTCTAAAAGTCTATCACGCATAGAAACCCCGAGCATAGCCCTCTCCATAGTTCGCTGTGCAACCTCGAGTTTCCTTATACGGCCAGCGGTGGAGGAATGTCTCTGATCCATAAATCATCACTGACTACACGCACTAATTGTGCAATCTTGTTTTCAGGTTTTGAGGTATGGGTAGTTCTACAAACTAAGGAAGAATTCGAGCCTGATTTCGGCCCGATATTTTTTATACATTCTGGTGGCGGAATTCAGTCTAATAAATAGAGTACAGTGTCTTTTAGCTTATCCTAAATGGAACAGTCAAAATATTTAATATTTTTTGATTTATAGCCATTTAAAAAAAATCGAGCCACAGGAAACTGAAAGTGTAACCAGGAAGCTGAGGAAAACAACAAAAATCAATCGAGATCAATAATTTATGTCACAAATTTTAAAAATTTGCCTCTTAACATTATTTTGTAATAATCAAAGTATCTTTTATAATAACAAAAAGTAGCTTAAATACTAATTCTATACCTAGAACAGCCTTCAACAGGAACATTAATCATCAAATGATTATTGAACATAAGGATAATAATAATCTCTCTCAATAATAAAATATCTCTTAAAGGTAACAATACGAAGTTTTTGTAACAAATTGTGACTAAACGACACTTCAATCTAGTAATTTACTTAAATCTAGTAACAAAAATAATAATTTTGACAGTCTGGTTTCAATTCTTTTAAACTATTTTTTGTAATCACAATCAGCTAAACACCCAGGGCATGTAAATAATGTAGATTCACCTTTAATACATCCATCTTGTGCCCAATTATTACAAATTAGACACTGGACCCAGTCATTTCCTGACGTATCTTCACTGTAGAGAACTCCACATATAAGGCACTCGCAGTCACTGAACTCGTATTTATTTGTCTGTGCTTTTTTTGATTCATTTTCTTTATCTGTTTGTTTTCTAGAATTAAATTTCTTTTTCTGTCTTGAGTCTTGTTTTTTGTATTTAGCCGCTTTTTTAACTTTGTCTTTCCTTGATATCATTTCTTTTCCCTTTTTTGGGTGTTCGGTGACAGTATCAACTTTTATTTCTTGGGTTTTAACTTTTCTTTGATTTCCTTTTTCTATTAACGGCTCCTGTGATAGGTCTGGGAAGAGAGTAGTCGGGTCAATTTGCAAATCAGGCATGGTGGCTAAAACTTCTGGATTTTCCAAATTCAAAGTAAGATCGCTTGCAACGCTCATATCATCTGGCTGATCTTTTAATTCCGTCTCACTTTCGTAGACGTCTTTAAATATTTGTCGTGATCCTGCAGAATATTCTAGTAAACCCATCCGGTAATGTTTACACATAATACCCTCATCACAAAAACAACTGAGGGATTTCAATTGTAGCTTTCTTGGCATGAAAGCACTGCCCTGTACTTGATGGACTTTGAGTGTCCCCTTAAAAGGTATTAAATTCTGTTGATCGCTAGAAATCAGCTTTTCCATATCTTCAATTTCACTTTTAGTGACGATAAAAAGTGTCACACCAGGGCAGCGATTTTGAATGACTCCGCAGAACTCAGTTAGGTTAGTAACATCACCTCCACATGCTACGACATCATTGGCAGCTCTTTTACATACAGCTCCTACACCATCTGGTGCTCCTTTACCATGGCCTGCTTCGTGGTAATTCCAAGTCCAATTTACAAGTCCAGGGCACAGATATGTCATTTTAGATGCTAGCGTGAAAAACATTATTTTGTTACGATATTGTGTTACTGGACCGTCACTCAAAAAATGGATGGTTTCTATTTGATATGGTAATTCTTCCAGTACTGGTTTTAAGTGGGCCCAAATAGCATAAACATTGTGACTCAAATCCGTTGATACAGTGCAATACGATCTTGTAGATCCCTTCAAATACATAACTACTGTGTGAAGTGAGAGCTGCGTACGAGATCCCCCAAAATGAAAAGATTGGATTTCTTCGTTATATTTCGTACTAAAATTTTCTGAAAAGTCCATATGCACTATGGCTTCTTGTTCAGTTAAGGACTTCTTCTTTTCCGATATTACTTGGTACTGGTGAACAATGTTCCTTTCATGCTGAAAAATTGTATTCAAATCCGTCTTCAATTTCAAAACAAGTTCTTGAGCTGTGGTGGAGACACTTTCCCTTTTTTGTTTTACCACTTGTCTTTCTTTCTTAGTTTTTATGTCTATTATGATTTCCTTTGATGCTATCCAGTGATTGTAACTAATCGGCATGTCTGCATTAAAATCGATCATAGGAACACTTTTTCTAGTGCAAGCTTCACATTTTCTTTCCAGACATTGTTCATGGAATCTGTTACAGCAAACTGCGTTTAATAGATTTTGATATGTTGGAACTTTTATAATTTTTGCATTATAAAGAGCAGTCACAATATGTTGGAAATTTGCGTAAACAGTACACAAACATGTATCTCTGTTTGATAATTTTGGAGCGACTATCCAGACGGGTGTTAGCCTCGCAAACATGGAGTAGCTCATAGTGACATTACCTGCCTTCAAATATTCTTTATGGAGATTTTTTAATGTGTCTAACCTGTAGCGTCTTTGTACTTTTTGTTTAGTTGCTTTATTTCTTATAAATTCTTTCTTGCCTGCACACAGTCTACTGTACTTGTCGTCTTCCAAAAATGTTTTAACTATCTTTTTTAAGCATCTTTTTTGTTTTATTGCAGCCTTTTTTTGCTTTTCTTGACTCCACATCTTTTTATAAGTTATAACCTTGTTTTTCAACTTCCAAGCCTTATTTGCATTCACAATCTGGCCCAAAAGTAATTTGTTTGCAACTTTCTTCTCTTGACGAGTCTTCAGATTAGACATATTATCTGATATTTGCTTTTCCAACACATCACCAAATAAAGCCTTTTTGACAACGTCTTACCCGTGTCGCTGGATCTTCAGCAAGTTTAGTCATTGCGGTTTTAGGCATAAGCTCCAATTGTTTCTTTTGTTTTTTCAATCACCACTTCACTCGCTGAACGCACTCGACTCACTAAACAACGTGCTAGGTGCAAATAGATAGATGACATTCATTGTCTCTTTCGTAGGTACTATCGACTCAGCGTAACGGTAAAGACGCACGGCAAATAGTCTAGTGAATATTTGCTAATTCAACAGCGAACAGGATACTGATATAAAATCGTGGGGATAAAATGTAAACAAGATTTATTCAATATTTTTATAAGGAAATACTATAGTAATTGTTCTACCTAGCCAGGAAAAATAGTAAACTTATTCATTTGGGATTCTTTTAAGACCCTAATGTAGAAATAAATGTATCACGACGCACTTTGAATTAAAATTTGTACGAGGGACACTGCAGGATCCTGAGAATTCGGCAGTTTGAACAGTAATTTTGTTCAGAAAAGAATTGTGAATCTTAATTATTTTTAGTGACCATCTAGAAACAAATGTAATTAATAGAATTCCATCCAAAAAAAATTGTTGTTAACAATTTTTTTATCATATTTTAGCTGAGCCGCCAAAAATTCCTTAGTTTGTAGAACTACCCGTATACCTGACGAGAAGATGTGTCGATAATTGTGTAGATAAATGTGATGATAATTCATTATGCATGCATAATATAATTTTGTTTATTCCTAATTAATTCCAGCGAAACGTAATATGTAGTTATGTTTTCCTGTACCGCAGACTTTAGTTGCTGTACAATTGTTTTAAGGGAGTTCAAGGTCAAAGAGAACGGCTTGATCGCGTGCGTCATGGTCATTGGGCGATTTTATCTGCTACTGTACAGCTTCCCTAATTTCATTGAATCGTTTATTAATTATCGTCAATTATTATCTAGTAGTATCGAATTAGTCTTAAATAACAATAAGAGAAGAATTGAGACAGAACATTCAAGACCTTTGTAAAAAAACATTAGGACTTATTCTTGCATCGTGGAGGTGTTTTAAAACTTCTTGAAAAGGTGTTATAAATTTTCAACGAAAAATGAATAACGCGTTGGCAGTCCCAAGTCGTGTAAAAGTAGTAATGATTGTATAGTGATGATAAATTGTGTTTTGATTAATTTAATACTTATATGACGAGTTAGTGACTAATTATCTTCGACCTAAGTAAAATATAAATTAATAATCAATTGCACACAAACATTAAGACCCGAAACAATTATTTGTAGGCCATAACAACACTTGTTAAGTATGAGATTCGAACCTGCGGCCCTCAGCGTCGCGGTTTATCGCTTAGTTACTGCGTCGTTATTGAAAAAAAATTCCAAGCAATAAATATTCGATTTATAACAAATTAATATCATACGACTTGACAACGCGTTCAACATATCGTATAGAACAATTCATGTTGTGTAGATATGATTGCAGATAAATAAAGTGTTATCAAGCCACAGCGGTGGTGGGGATAGTGAAGCAACGAGAAACCGGCCAGCCCGCGGCCCCACAGTTACGCAGACACGCCGGGTCAGAAGCTCGCGGTGAACGCAATATTTCGCAATCGACATGGAAACTAAGAAATTCACAAGGAAGGAGCTCGCTGAGCGCAACTCCAGGAATGACGCAGTTTTCATCATTGACAACCAAGTGTATGATGTCACAAAATTCCTGGACGACCACCCCGGAGGTCACGAAGTGCTAATAGGCGTCGCCGGTAAGGACGCGACCGAGAACTTCGAGGACGTCGGTCACAGTCTCGATGCGAAAGAACTAATGCAGAAATTCCTCATCGGTGAATTAGTAGACGAGGATAAAACAAATGTGAAGAAACGCAATATTAACTGGAGCGCGGGAGACACGGCTGCAGAGTCGACCAGCTTTACGAGCTCGTGGAAGTTCCCAGTGTTGCTAGGCATTATCATGACGGTTCTCTACACGTACCTGTTTGGTTAAGTTCACGATCGAGTAATTTTATTTATTTGGGTTGCGAATTCATTGTACGCGATTGAGTGACTTTGTTCTTTGGACTTGGAACGAACAATATTTCGACTCTGTTACGTGGTATCCATTGAGTGTTTGTAATAATTATTAACTGATTATGTACTATGAAGTCTTATGTAAGTTTTTGTACCGATATCGTCTAGTGATAATAAAGGAGAACACGTTTGATAACTGTGTCAATTACTCAACGAAGCGATGCGTGTTAGTTATTGCATAATAATACGCCTTCTCACTTCCAAACGTAACTGTACTAGCAAAATACGAAATAACTTCTTCATCTTTGTTCCTACACATTAAAAACAAGTTAGGCTTGTTTGCGTGGATGACAGAATAATCGTTTATAAAACTACTGTTGGCATGCCACCTAAAGTCAAATATTTTTACTAGATATCTGTGTACATTCGGTGTAAATTCCATGATAACAGCTTGGTATGTCAGATAGATATATTTTTTATAGAAAGATATTAAAAATAATTTGGTTATTTATAAATAAGGACTAAAGGCATTTTAAAATTGAAATTAAATACAAAAGTAATTTTGTATATTATTTTATGATGAATAATGTGTAGACAATTTTTAATATTTTAATTAGAATAAGGAGTTTACAAATTGAATAAATTCAATTTCAATTTTCACGTTTCATTGTAACTTATTTTTATAAATAAATTTTCTAATAATTATTTTAAATACGTTATTTTAAAAACGAACGTAAAATTACCAGTTCTTTTCAATATATGCTATTCGTTTTGTACAACCATTAGATTCTCCTTTGCATATAATATACCAAAATTAAAAATCACAATGGTCGTTGCAGCCGTTACAAGTTCACTGCTGAACATGCGAGTAGGCCTCGCCTAAATATTGCCACGAATCACTGTTCTGAATATAGTAAAACAAAATAACATAAACACTCACACCTGTCACCCAGAGGGGTAGGCAGAGACTATGGACTTCCATTTGGCACGATCCTGACACACTTTCCTCGCTTCCTCCACATCCATATTATATCGCATACACGCTAATAAAAGCCGACGGGCTAAAGTTACTATTAATTTGGCCCATTTTCAATATATCGCCAATTTAAAAAAATCTAGACTGTATTTAGCTAAAAAAAGTAATTGTATATAGTTTATATTATAATTTTATACTACACTATATATTGAATAAAACTACTTTTACGGATTTTATCGCGTTTAATTAAGTTATTTTATGTTCCCGACGTTTCGTTTGCTTTCCAGCAACCGTGGTCACGGGGGACTGAGGCGATTGACGTCCCGATGTGAAAGTTAACCCGGAGTTTCTTCAGCTTTTTAATTATTAATTTTGGTCCGATCTACGCAGAATGAACTAACTGTGTCTTGAAGTCTTGCAGTGGTATGCTTGGGCTTAGTTTTAATTTTATGAATAACAGGATCCCAAGCAGGTGGTAGTACCCAGCCTCCCTCTCTATTGAAATTAGGATGTTTTTTTTAAATTTCAATAGCCTCACATATCATCCTTGGCAGGAATCGATGTTCTTTCGCGAGAACTTGTGGTTTATCAAATCTAATGTAATGGCGGGGGCCGTCTAGGATATGATCACAAACTGCAGATATCTCCTTCGTGATAATTTATAACATTAAACAACAAACATTTGTATTCAATTTTAAGGTAAAGGTCGTATTAAAGTATATAAAGGGCATCACGTCTCCCCGTTAACAACTTCACAATACAAGTCACATGCATCGACGGATATTGTTTTTACTAAAGTATAAAAATAGCAGGCTATAAAAGTTCACTGGTGAACTGATCCTATTAAATTATCATGTGTATGTTCAGCTGTGAACTTTGGTGGTCTGATGAAGAAAAAGAGATCCTGTTCCATTGTAATCGAGTTCCTGGGTATTCTGATTTTTTATATTTTATAATGTGTTTGAAGAGTTGAAATTATAGTTTTAATAGTCTAATATTTAATTAAAATGATTTTTTTAATATTAGGTTAAAGTTTTAATAAAATACATTTTAAATTAAATATATTTTTATATTTTTTATTAACATTTATTTCGTTGGCTTTGTGATAGTGTAAGAGAAAAAACGACCTTATTACGTCCCGTGAGGGATGGAACAGATGAAAACTGGAACAAGTGATGGGTAGCAGCATCTTCCTGATCATAACTGAAAGTAATAAAAAAAAATGCTGGTGAGGAACTGCCTGCCAAGCGAAGCAAATATGACCAGTCTTCCTAATGAGGGAGATTGGTCATAATGGAATGGAAGAGACCTCAGTTCAATTTAGATAACTGTAGTTAATGAATGTATGAACTACATATTAATTGCGTTTACTTTTGTTCGAGTATCTATTGTTCTTCGTTTCATGATTAGCACAATGTTATTAATAAGCAAGTTCAATGTCATAACCTTTACTTTTCACTGATTATGTAACTGTTTTTGCTTAAAATTATTATTTCTTATTATATTATTTATAGACATAATATGAATAAAATTGAAGTTTCTGTCTGTAATATTGAAATAACTGCTCTCTTAAAGCTCAGGGGGTTATTTGCATGCTATTAAGACATAAATAACCATGTTTAAAAACTTTGTCTGTCTGTATGAAACAAAAACTTTTTTATTCAATATAGATAATAAATAATACTTATTCAAAGTCACTTTTTAATTTATGTTTTTTTTTATTGGATAGGGTGACAAACGAGCACACAGTCCACCTGATGGTAAGTGGTTACTGTAACCCATAGACATCTACATCTATCCTCAATAAAGACAGATGCAGATGCGTTGTCACCCGTGAGGACTAAGATGGAATGCCTCTTTGCCAGTAAAAAGGGTCTCCGGTTCTCTACACTCACCATACGAAACACAGCAGCGTTAAGCTGCTATTTTACTCTGGTTTTCTGTGAGAGCGTGCTAGGTAGGTAGGTAGGCAAGGGTCCTAATGTAAAACATTCGAATACCAATGTGCTGTTAAATGGGGAGGAATTGAGTCTTGTGGTTACCACTGTTTTTCTTGGTATTACTATTGACGCGAAACTTCAATGGGGCCCCCATATATCTAAATTAGCAAGCAGACTTAGTTCTGCAGCATATGCTGTAAGAAAGATTAGAAGTCTCACAGATGTTGAGACAGCTAGGTTAGTGCATTTTAGTTACTTTCATAGCGAAATGTCTTATGGAATTTTTCTATGGGGTAATGCGACAGAAATTGAAGCTATATTTGTTTTGCAAAAGAGAGCCGTACGGGCGATTTATAATCTAAATAGTAAAGAATCCCATAGAGACAAATTTAAAGAAATAAACATATTAACTTTGGCATCGCAATATATTTATGAAAATGTAATGTATGTACATAAAAACATAAATAGCTTTAATAAGAATAAGGATTTTCATACCTTAAACACTAGGAACAAACATAAGCTTGTACTGCCAGTTACTAGACTCCACAGAATTAGTAATTCATTCATGGGGCAATGTATACGCTTTTGCAACAAAATCCCAGAACATGTTCAAAGTTTGCCAATAAACAAGTTTAAAATTTTAAATAAAGAAAAACTGTACAAAAAGGGTCATTATAATATCAAGGAATACATGAACGAAAATAACGCCTGGGAATAAAGTGATCGCCACCATGCTGGTTCTATGAAAATTCATTTAAAATTATATAAACAAAATTATTGTTAAGTAAAATTATGTTTAAAAAAAAGTCCCGCTGGGATTCTTCCCGGGACAGAGGTATTTTCCGAACCAGTGGTAAAAAAAGACTTTCAATAAGTATTATGTAATAATCAATATTGAATAAAAATCATTCTTAGTCTGTTTGGTACATTTGTCTTTTGTTTATATTTGATAAAAATGTATATATGACAGCGCCTTTAAATTTTTGATAGCAATAAAACTTATAAAAGTTGAAAATCATTTTATTAAAAAACTACGCATACTAGGCTCTTGATATGAAACAGGAAACCAGTTGCTGTAATTATAAAAATAATAAAAAAAACCTCGATACTTCAATTTTTTCGGTAGTTATCATGATCACATGCAATATCAACATCCGGACTTCCACGTAAGTTTTTCTAAACCGTTTTCTTTTCAAAATAGCAATATAAAACGGTATTTTAGAAAATATAAGATGAATTAATTAAAGTGTTTTCTTGATATATGGCTACTCATATTATCGTATAAGTGTAATATGGTTATGAATATGATAGACGCATTTTAAGAATTCAAATTGATTGACCTTGACGCGTTATGAGGCGTGCAATAGTTTAGTGTAACGTTTAGCTATAGCTCTGCGAACTACTGATTTGATTCCAACACAGAAAAAGGTATTTTTCCTGCAAATAAATGTTCTACATATACGCGTGTATCCGGTTTTTAACATAAAAAATACAAAGGGTTACTTAATTTATTCCTTTTTTATTAATATAGTTGACAAACGAGCACACAGTTGAGCACACCTGATGGTAAGTGGATGCTTCGACCTATTGACATCTACATATATGTTTAATTAGAAATAAAAATGCAGATGCATTTTCACCCGATATGGAATACCTCATTTTCAGTAACAACGGTCTCCGGTTCTCTACACTCACCATACGAAACACAGCGGTTTGTATTTTACTCTGGTATTCTTTATACGTATACGTATTGCATCTCAAATACATTCTTAACATAAAACAGGAACATGTCAGTAGATACTTAAAAGAAAATAAAAAAATTACAAATAAATGCAATATGGCTGATACTTCATTCGTATGTCTGTCCGTCTGAATAAGTCAGTCGGTGCGATTTACCATTTGGAGCTTCATCACCGTTTACCAACAGGTGAGATTGTAATCAGGCACTGGTTTATAAAAAATATAATAAAATTAATAAACGACATTCGATTCGGCTTTCCATAGCCGATATAAGCACATTATACATTTGTTACAAATACGAGATCTGTTACGAAAGTCCACCTGCTGAGCGTGACAATTCAGGCAAATCCTCCATATAACGAGGATCCAAACTGCAAACGAATCCTACCATTTACTTTGAATGATTTGATTTACTTTGAATTACTTTGAATACTATCGTAAAATAGCAGCTCAACGCTGCTGTGTTTCGCATGGTAAGTGTAGAAAACCGGAGATTCTTTTAACCGGAAACGAAGCATTCCATCTTAGTCCTCAGGGGTGACAACGCATCTGCGTTTTGATTCTTAATCAATGATAGATGTAGATGTCTATGAACTACAGCATCCACTTACCATCAGGTGGTCTGCTCGTTTGACACCCTTATTTTAAAAGAAATCTATCGTATCCTATCTTATTCTATTGTAAACGCAGTGTGGATATCTCGCGGCTATATCGCTATCGCCCTTCTAGAAATATTACATTTGTGCAGGTTACAATATCATCTAATGAATTTTTGTCCGTTTGTATATAGGTATTTAGCCCACTTCAAAAAAAGGAGGTTTACAAATCGAATATGTTCTTATTTGTATGTATGTTACGCGATGTCTTCGCCAATTGTGATATTTAAATTTGGATTAAAAATTTACTCCTCAGTGTGGTAAAATAAACGATGAAGATTTTGAAGTAAGTTAACACGATATCGAGATTTTTATATTCCTTTGTCCACTGAAAAGGGAAAAAATTACTTTTAATAACAAATAAAAGTAGACTGCGATAAACTAAAAAGAATAAAACAATTTCAAATTTTGAAATTTTTTTTTTATAGGAGAAGGGGCAAACGAGCATGCGGCTCACCTGATGGTAAGTGACTACCGCCGCCCACGAACAACCGCAACATCAGGGGAATTGCAGATGCGTTACCGGCATTTTAAAAAGCAGTAGGCTCTTTTCTTGAAGGTCCCTAAGTCGTATCGGTCCGGAAAAATCGCTGGTGGTAAACTATTCCACAAGGAAGTTGTGCGAGGAAGAAAACATCTTCTAAATCGCACAGTGGTGGACCGACAATCATCCAAATGGTGTGGATGGTATCGGGAGTTCTGCTGCGATGTGCGTTCGTGAAATTAGGCAGGTGGGATTAAACCGAACAATTTCTCAGAGCACTCCCCGTGGTAAATGCGAAAGAAAATGCAAAGAGATGCAACATCTCTTCGCAGCGCCAATGAATCGAGCCGATCGGAAAGGACTCGGTCGTCGACGATTCGAACCGCTCTGCGCTGGACTAAGGAGCCCCAGCCCAGAGATGGGAACAGTATTCCATGTGAGGCCGAACCTGCGCCTTGTAAAGTTGCAGGCGTTGAGCCGGCATGAAATACTGTTTCGCTCTGCTGAGCACGCCAAGCTTTTTAGAGGCCAATTTGGCCTTCTCTTCCAAGTGACCACGAAACTGCACGTCATTCGATATGTCGACGCCGAGGATTCCGATACTGGCTGAGGCAACAAGGGGAGTACCTTGAAACTGAGGAGATACGACAAAGGGGTTCTTTTTAGCGGTGAACGCGCAAACTTGTGTCTTCTGAGGATTAAACTGGACTAGATTTAGTCGCCCCCGATCCGAGACTTTGTCCAGCAAAGACTCGACTTCAGACACAAGTTTGTTCCGGTACTCGGTGACGTTTTCCCGAGAAATATTGGCACGGCCGGTGTATAGAGCATCACCAGTGCTGTCATCCGCATAGCAATGAATGCTACCGGCTTGCAACATATCATTGATATGCAGAAGAAACCGCGTTGGAGATACCACGCAGCCTTGTGGAACACCAGCGTTAATAGGCTTGTAGTCGGAGCAGGCACCGTCTACAACGACCTTGATGCTCCGATCTGCAAGAAAGCTGGTGATCCAATTGCATAATTTCTCGGGAAGGCCATAAGAAGGGAGCTTCGAAAGAAGCGCTTTGTGCCAAACCCGATCGATGGCCTTCGCAATGTCCAAACTAACGAAATGAAAAATGTCTTTCAATAAGAATTATGTAATAATCAATAATGAAAAAAAAACATTCTATTCTATTCTATTCTATTCGTGCTTGGTGGTAGAATTGTTAACACTATGGTACCAATCCAAACTCTTAAGATAAAATAAACCCTACTATCTGGTATCTGTATAACGTGGAAAAGTCCCCCTACCCGAACAAATCTAGCCTTTTTATAGAAATAATAAATATTCTTAATTTAGTAGAGGGTTGCCTTACAATTCGTTTACTGGTATAGCTTCTGTCACTCTATAAATTTTCCTCCCCACCGGTGGTCGGTTCTTCGATTTCTGTGGAATTATGACCTGGTAAGATATGCAGGAAGTAGATGTATGCGGGTAGCTCAGAACGTGTCTTCTGACATTCCTTAGAGGAAGACTTCAACAGAAGACTTGTAAAAGTCTATAATAATGGTAATGATGATACACAAATATTACAAATTAACAAATATACGATTCATTTAAACTTAATATGACTAATCAACGCGTGTGGACAGTGTGATATATAGAGCAAGTCACGATGATAGATAATAAACAGAGCGTTATCAGCCTACAACATTGGAGGGGACGTGGACTTAAGAGAGACCTGCTAGCCCGAAGTCCTTCAGTAAGGCAGTCAAACTCTGGGTCAGAAGTTCGCAGCCAAAGCAGTATTACACAACCGACATGGAAACTAAGAAATTCACAAGGAAGGAGCTCGCCGAGCGCAATTCTAGGGCCGACGCTGTTTTTATCAATGAAAACCTAGTGTATGACGTTACGGAATTCTTGGATGAACATCCTGGAGGTCACGAAGTGTTGTTATCGGTCGCCGGTAAGGACGCGACCGAGAAATATCAGCGCGTCGGCCACAGTCATGCAGCTAAGGAACAAATGAAAAAATACCTCATCGGTGAGCTAGTGGACGAGGACAAGACAATCGTGAAGAAAATCAATGATAACCAGACCGTAGTAGAAACACCTGCGGAGTCAAGTAGCTTTACGAGCTCGTGGAAGTTCCTAGCGTTACTAGGTATCATCATGACAGTCTTTTACACGTACCTGTTCGGTTAAGTGGACGATCGAAGTAACTTTGTTTTGGGTGCTATTAAACTGTACGTGATTATGAGATTGTGTTTCTTGGACTGGAAACTTCGTGCAACAGGCTCTAGACCGGTTCGACTGAACTTTTTTTGGCATTGTACTCGTATCTAATATACATGCTAATATGAGAGAGACTTTGTATTACTATTAGTTAATTAAGTGCTGTGAAGTTTTATGTCAGTTTATGTACCAATATCAACATAGTGATAATATACGAGAATACGATTTATAGCTGCAGTATTACTCAACGATATGAACTAGTAATTTAAAATCGTTTTATTTGATTATACAATTGTGCTATCAGAATACAAAAAATGTCCTTCACCTTTTCCCAATGCTTTTAAAACATGAATGTTAAACATATAAACATGTTAAGATTTCTTTGCGGAAATTTGATACTAGGATTAACATCTTCTCTAAAATACTAAGAATTAGAAGAAATACCTCTAAATAATCCTAAATCAATTTTATATAATGATGGTAAGTTAATTCTGTGGCCTATAGAAATATTTATACTTGATTAAAAATCAAAATACAGATGCGTTGTCACTTTTGAGGGCAAAGATAAAACGCCTCGTTTTCAGTAAAAAGGGTGTCCGGTTCTCTATACTCACCATAGGAAACAGCAACATTAAGCTGCTATTTTACGCTGGTATTCTGTTAAAGTGTGATCCTTCCCCGGACGAGCCAATCCATTCGTGCTATAACCATGGAATACACGTAAATAATGGTACAAGATCTATAACTACATAGCTGCAGCATGGCTTTACCACGTATAAGAAAAATAAATAAAAGCCTCAAAAATCCTGTACCTTTTCAAACACACACACACACACACACACACACACACACACACACACATATATATATATATATATATATATATATATATATATATATATTAATATAAATATTATGTTTTATTAGGGTAAATATGTGCATATATAATAACATATTACTTAACTATTCTCTATTAGAATATCTAATACCTAGAGAGTATTTAAATCCGTGTATGCCCCTAATGTACACTATCACGTTACACATTGTATGGACTAATAATTTGAGAACCCAAAATAGAAATAAAAAAACATATCGATTTGGTTGCTTGGTTTTAGAAATATGATAATTATACTTTATTAAAAATTAAGAAGTAATTTGACTCCCTTATACGAGTGAACGTTGGCATTCACTATCTGACGGACATTTTTGTAACTTAAGGCGGGACAACCAGAGGTCAAACTACTGCATCAAATTCTTTTTATTATTTTTATTAATTACTAGCAATCCGCCCCGGCTTCGCACGGGTGAAATTTGGATCTCGACAACAGCGCTACCTACCAGATCCAATTGTGAATCTAAACTATCCAGGGATCCACTGAAAAACACATAAAAAATTAAATCGAAATTGCTCCAGCCGTTCTCAAGCGACAATCTTTCATACATGTGGCAATTGATTTTTATGTAAATAGATAATTGTTTATACCGCCATCTATCACCCTTAATCTTAACACCAGATTTATAGTAGGTAGGTTATTTGTTTTTTTTTATATAGGATAGGGTGACAAACGAGCACACAGTCCACCTGATGGTAAGTGGTTGCTGTGATCCATAGACATCTACATTTATTCTCAATAAAGAATCAAAATGCAGATGCGTCGTCACCTTTGACGACTAAGATGGAATGCCTCCTTTCCATTAAAATTGGTCTCCGGTTCTCTACACTCACCATACGAAACACAGCAGTGTTAAGCTGCCATTATGAGAAGGTAAAAGGCACTGACTTAATCTAACAAAAGCCTTTTAAATCTCCTTCTTTTACGCCTTTCCTTTCTTTCTCTTCTTTTTTCTCAGATTATATTTTGATGAAAAGAAATTATTATACTCCACGCATTAAAAATAATGTACTCCAGACCGAATTTCAGTTACGGCGGCCATTCTCAACGGAAACTAGTTATCTGTTCAGGACGCGATTATAATGCCTGAGTGTATGGAATGGTACGAGAATCCGAGGGGACGATAATCCAACACGACCTGAGAGAGAAGAGACGCGGGACCAATGGCTTTACGTACTTTCCGTGTGCCATGAAATGTTCAGCAGTGTACTTTTGATGACCTGTAACGGTAACATTCTATTGTAAAGAGCCTCCAACAATGATGGAAAAACTCTCTGAGAAACTGCGACACGTCGAATGAACTTCGTCATTACTGCTACATGATAACAACACGTGCATTTAGAAAATTGATTTGAAAAAATTGCGCTCCGGAAGCGTTACAAAATCCCTTTATAAACTTTGTAGTGTCCAGATCCCCAGAGTTTTATCGCAAAGACATAAATGATCTTCCCTCGAGATGGCAGAAATGTATAAATAATGAGAGTAAATTATTTGATTAAATAAATATATATTTTTGTAGAATAAGGGTGTTAAACGAACACAGTCCTGAGTCCACTGATAGTAAGTGTATTCTGTAGTCTATAAACATCTACATCTACCATCTATTACGAATCAAAACGCAGTTGCGTTGTCACACTTGAGGACTAATATGAAATGCCTCGTTTCCAGTAAAAAGGCTCTCTAGTTTTCTACACTCACTTTCTGTGTTCTACAGTTGTGTTCTACAGCACTATTCTGCTGTTTCAGGCTTTTATTCTGTGAGAGTGTGATCCTTCCCCGCATAAGCCGACTTGTAGCTGGAGGTATGTACAGCTTAACCGTGGCTCAACCACTTAAATCTTTTTTTCTTCAAAAAAAAAAGGTGTTTCTAGTTGTTTATAATAAACGGTATTTTCATACTTTCATCATCATCATTATCATCATCGTTACAGCCCTTCACAAGTCCACTGCTGAACATAGGCCTCCCCCAAGAAATGCCACAATGCAAGGTCCCGAGCCACCTGCATCTATTGACTTACCAGGTCGTCACTCCGTCAAACGGGGGGCGCCCTACACTTCACCTGCCGCTACAAGGCTGCAACTCGAGAATGATTAATAAAATATATATATATATAAATATAAATATATATATATATATATATATATATATATACATATATATATATATATATATATATATATATATATATATATATATATATATATATATATATATATATATATATTAATAATAATCTTCATACTTTACCTAATATTAATTGTCAACAATTGACACTCACGTTTTTTATAAATAATTTGTTTGTCACTTTATAGTTTCTACTGTGTCATGTTGACTCTGCAGTATTTCATATAATCCATACATCTAAATAAAAGTTAAGTGGCTGACTGTAACATTAAACTAACTGGCTTCTTAAAAGCTCGAGGGGTTATTTGCATGGTATTAATAAAACATAAACAACCATTTCTTAAATATTTTCTGTCTGTCTATCCGGGCAATCTTCGGTTACCTATCTGTTTGTAAAATTTCATCAAATTGTTATGAAATTTTACAAAAAGTTAGAGCGCAACGCCAGGAGGGATCTAGGCTGTATTTTATTTGAAAAATTGATTTTCGAAGAATCTTAAATCTACATTAATAGATACAATCCAGGCGAATCTGGGGCGAGTCACTAGTTTAAAGTAATACACGTGTATAAATTTCATTGCTTGATGCAAAACATTCATTTATATGTAAACAAGTACATTTTAAAAACTCATATCATCATGACATGGAGAATTGGACGTGTCGTTATTCGACAACTTGTTATCGTTTCTAGAATAATCTTAAAACGCTTAATGTTCATGAATTTCATATTTATATCTAATTAGTAATATGGTATCATATTATCTGTGATAAAAACTAGAACCGGACGATAAGAGCTGTGGAAACTCAGGGCCTAAGCGCCCACTGTTTTCACAGTACACGAGAAACCCGGGTTCGATTCCCGCCAGCACCAATGAATTGGTGAAGGGAAACATCTTGTGATGAGAGGAGGCCTGTGCCCAGTTGTGGAACGCATATAATAATAATAATAATAATTAAAATTCTTGCGAATAAGCCTGATATTGTGCTGATGGACCGGGCACAGTCAAGGATATTTTTGGTCGACATTAACATTCCGTATGACGAGAACCTCGTGAAAGCCGAAACAGATAAGCGTACAAAATATCTGGACCTGGCTCACGAGGTGACCGACATGTGGGGTGGACTGCCGGCCGAAATTATACCTGTAGTCGTTTCTGCGAACAGGTTAATCCCAGTCAGCTTCTCGGGTCATCTGAGGTGGCTGGTACTCCGTGACGGACCGCTCCAAGCTCAAATACAGAAGGCGGTGCTCCTCGATACCGCCCGAATCGTCCGCCGGTTTCTTTCCCTTTTCCCCTAACCTTCGGCCGGTTGGTCTCCCCTGCCGAGGGCTTCCATCTGTTTTTTTTTTTCATTTTTATTTATTTATGTATTTTTTATGTATTTATTTTATTTTGTTGATATTTATGTATGTTTATCATTTTCATTTACAATTATATATTTATACAGCCCACCCAGATGAGTAAACTATATAGATACCCCACATAATAATAAACGTTTATTTCGGACATCATGATCAATATGGGTTAGTAACAATTGAGCTTATAACTAAAGTTATTAATTGGACAATTCAACATAAAACACAGACAAACAGTCAAAACACACATACAAACAAACATGGCACCCGCCGCTGCCAGCAAGATGACTACTTGACTGCGTGCAGCCGTATCCATCGAGCAAACATCGGCGAGTCCCAACGGTTTGCCAACGCGCGCAACATACTATTGGGACTGTCGCGAATGCGCCTGAGGCTTTTATAAAAAAAATGTTTTTAAATATTTTATTATTTTGTGGTGGAGTGGCGATGTATGAATCCACTAATCCATACCGTCCGGTGTCGGTAGAGGCGACAGAGGAAAACATACCAGGATATGGGCAGCAGCATCTTCCTGACAAATATTGCCTCTATGGGGATGTATGTATATATATATATATATATATATATATATATA